GTCGGGCACTCAGCTGTCCTGCTGCCCGAACTCCAAAAAGCAAACAGCAGTTTGACAATAGATGAAAATATAAGCTCTTGGATTGGTAAGTATATCCTTAATTATTTGGCATAAGAGAGTGATGAAGTTTTGGAACACCAAAAAGAATATTTCAGTCACATAACAACGTGTGGATTGGATTCATCTAGCTCAGTACAGAGTCAAGTGGAGGGCTGTTATTACTAAGGTAATAAAACTTAGGGATGTATAAAAGTAAGGAGATTTCTTGATCAGCTGATTAGCATTTGAAATGATATTAATTTGAGATAAGATCATAATAATATGTGCCTATTGGATACATGTAAAAATATATTCTTTTAGCAAGTTCCCATGTAATGGCTGGACCAGCTGGGACTCTGTTTGCTGGAATATTCATGGAGATTTACGGACGAAGATGTAATATCATCACAGCGAACGCCATGATGACTATTGGATGGTTATTCATTGCAGGAGCACAAGAAAAGTTCATGATTTTATTTGGAAGAACCATCGAGGGATTTTCCAGATGTATGCTGTACGCAGGCGTAGCGGTAATTTCATAAGAAACCCTCTCTCTATTCAGTGATTTAGATTTTCGTAAGCAGTTTGTCATTTATAATTCTTAATTTTTAAGAAGCACACTGACGAACACGTCATGCTAACGTGTTTGTGATTCATTTAACGACGCTGTCAGCAGCTGAGACTATACAGGGTGTTCAATGAATAGCTGAATCATTTGGGAAGGATGTGGGAAGAAGAGGTGGTCCTGGCGTATGCCTGGAGCTACTGTAGAAAACAACGAAAAACATCGGTCTAATTACTCGACGGCTACATTCGATACGCGACATTTCAAACTAGAAACATTATGGGATTTTACGCCTGATAGTTTTGTACAACTTTGCCGACTTTTAGAGGTGCGTGCTACTTCCATCATGAGGGTGAATATAGCCCTGGAGGTTGTGAGTACCTCTGAAACGTCCGTCAGTTTCTACAAGACCTTACAGAGCAGCAACTCAGAAGACAGCCATCTTCATTCTCATCGCCGTGAGAACCTGAAATCTCACTTTGTTTGCTTTGTAATTGTTTTATTTCGAATGTTACCCATGTTTTCAGGTGATAGTGGACGAACTTTCGGACCCAAAATATCGAGGTTTTATTATGGGATGCTGTGGTACATTTGCATCTGTTGGGATCTTAATTATCTCCGGTCTGGGCACTTGTGTTGACTGGCGCACAGCCTCTTGGATGGCTGCAGCCATGTCTTTTGCTTCGCTTGTGATCTTTCCCTGCGTTTCCGAAAGTCCAGTCTGGCTCGTCAGAAAAAACCGGATACCGGAAGCAAACCGATCACTGAGCTGGATTTGGGGACCACAACATTCTGTGAAGGTAACCGCATTAACCCTTTAAAACCGAGTGGTAAATATATATACCACCTGCTTTAACATTCAATAACTCTTTCTTAACAGAGTATGTCTATTGGTTCTGTGATTTAATTAAAAACAGATTTGATCAGCTAATCTTTGCAATGGTGACGAGTCGTGTTTTCTTCGCGGTACGAACCCAATTCTTAAATATTATTTAGATCAAAGATTCTGACGACGTCGCTAAATTACGTACTAAATTTCCAATGTCCTTCCTGTCTCTCTCGAATGATCCAATTTTAGGCTCTTATGAACACGGTGACAAAGCTTTGAGTTTCATCAAATTTGGTGAAATTTCTGGTTCTAACGACGGCGAGAATAAATAAAACTCTTCTAGGATGTTGCGCCGTTTACCCAGTTAGAAGTTTACCGACGTTTCGGATGTGCTTACTACCCCCATCATCAGGGCGATAAAACAGCACCAATTATGATCTGTTAATGTGGTTTTAATCTAATATATCGTGTTTTATATAATTTCAAGGCCACAGAAGAACTCCTAGACCTGCAGCAAAGATACCTTCATGAGGAATGCATTGGACACACTCACCAAGGACGTACCGGGCTTATTACAAAAATTCGTCACTTCTTCAGGATTTGTCGTAGTTTATCCACACCTTCAACACTTAAGCCCTTAGTTATAATCCTTATTTTCAACATTTTTCAACCCATCTGTGGTCATAGTTTGTTTATGTTCTATGCAGTAGATATTTTACATAGAATGCAAAAGAATAACTTTGAAATTATTGATGCGAATCTTGAAACAATTTTGTTATCAGTTGTTCGCTTGTTATCTGTTACTCTCTCTTCCTTCTGCATGTTTCGTTTAGGTCGAAGAGAGATAGGGATAATTTCCGGTATCGGGGCATCTGTTTCCGGAATATTCATTGCAGTTATTCTGTATATGAACTTACTTGAACAAGGATCCCCTATCCCGCCTCGAATTGAAGCCTGGATCATTTTGGTGCTAATAATTTTCTTTATAGGAAGTCATTCCTTTGGATTCTATATGCTACCGGCCTTAATGATAGGCGAAACCCAAGCAGCTCAAGCTCGTAGCACCTTCTGCGGATGCATATTTACGATTACAGATTTAATTCTTTTCGGTGTTCTGAAAGGTTACCATTCGATTTTAAAATCGGTGGATATACATGGAATGTTTCTCATCTTTGGAATATCGTGCTTATTTTGTACAATATTCATTTACATTTTTCTACCGGAAACTCGTAAAAAGACCCTAATGGAAATTGAAGATTACTTCAGAAAACAGAATGTCATGTGGCTATCAAGGGAAAAATATTGAAATCACAAAACAAATGAATAAATAAATACGTAAACTTAATTCCTGAGAATAAAAACGCAAGTCAAGTCTCCGGAATATTCCTCCATATCTTAATTTTACAAAAAAAAAAATACATTCCAAACGCTTGCAACAGAAAACATTTATAAACATAAGGGCCTAGTTTATTCAAATACTTTTGGCTCTACTTAGAACGTAAATTAATCAACAAGTTCCCTGCCCGTAACTGCTTAAATTATTCGTATACAGAGTTCATACCGAAATATTACCTCTTTCAAATTGCGAAAAACATTTACTGAATAAATTAGACATTTGAAGTTCCCTACGATGTAAACACATAACAATTAAAACAAAACACCAGGAAATGGACGGAAAAATTTTCAGTACAGAAAAACAACCAAAAACCTGCTTCATGCCATCAAATTGAATATCGCACTTACCTTGACAGCCGGAAGAAAATGTGGTTATTCCCATGTACAGCTTGTCGAATCTAGGAGCATTTCTGCTGACGTCACAAACACTAGAGCACTGCGAGTTTCAAAATGTCACTTGCCAACAACAATGTATCTTTCTTTTGAAAAAATCCTGTCACTAATACGTCACCGAGTCAAAGAACTAGTGGTTTTAAAACCGTTCGTGTAACAATCGGTATTCACGGCGCACACTTTTTAATAAAAAAAAAACAACTCTGAAACAACTGAACTCAAATGAAATACATTCTACTCTTCAAATTTTCAGACAATCTGTATATTATAACTTTTACGACGACGGTTAAAAGTGACAATTTAATCCTTACTCGTTCCTTATTAACCACGAAAACCGTCGGCCTATCTCTTGCCTAAGATTTGAATTTCGAGACGTTTCGAAAACAAAACAAGATTGCCAACAGCTATACACTAAACCCCTTACTAGTAACCCGGTGTCAACTGACTGGTGCCTCAATTGGAACTGCTTCTCGCTGCTGTCAACACGTCAAATACAACTTCATTAGGATAACAAACTTCCTGGAGTTTATCAGTTATTTTATTTTCAATTAAAACGAAGTTTAGAAGACTGGAAACAAAGCAAAACCCACTCTGTTTTGATAGAGCTACTCCGAAACGTCGCGTTTTAATTACATTAAAAGCATGGATTATTTTAATAACACACCATCGTCACAAACCTTTATATGTAAATTCCTATGCTTTACACTTCGCATAATTTGAAGGCTTTCGAACATCGACAAAAAAATTTCGTGATGAATAAATTATTTATTATTAAGTGCTCTAAAAGCCTGTAGCAATTTTGAATACGCAAAATTCAATAACACCTACTGATATGCTCGTGGGTTTAGTAAACACGAATTTTTGTAGTGGTATTTTGTTCACATTCATTCGTACAATTGGGTTGCAAAAACGATAAGTTGGTAGTCATTAATAAGGACACACGTACTTCTATGTGACGTCATTAAGAAGGGCACAGACTTTGCACCCAATACTTCCTGTATTTTATATATAAAAATCCTCTACTAAATAGGAAACATCCCATGTGACTATAAACGATTATGATAAAATTTAGCAAATAAACATACGTTTCACAACGAAAGGTTATCTTATTTACGTAGTCACATGCATGTACCAATTACACACGACCAGTTCAAACACTGAGAGCTAATCAAGAGAATATTTTGAAGACCAGTACTAACACAGCATAAAGCCATAAATAGTATTCCTTGTAAACATCCTGAGTAACATAGTATCTTAAACACTTTTTGTATAAAGAAATGCACTGAATTGAAACAAGAGACAAGCACGCTTCGTTCTTCCACCACGCCACGTCAACTCGAACTGCATCAGTGATTCTTTAGGTAATCATACCGACAGATGTCACCAGTATCGAAACAAGAGACGGTGTAATCCCGACACGCAAAGGCCAAACAAATGATGACAGTGTCCACGCTTCAAGGTGGAATAGCTAACACGTGTTTGCATATTAAGGTTAGAAGCAACATACAGGAAAACATTCACGATTTTCTATATATATATATAAGGCGACAGAAATATTTATACCGTAAACATAAAAATTATGTGTTAATATCCCTTCAAATGGCTTACGTTAGAGCACAAATGCTTTAAAATCATAAAAGACTTGGATAAAGAAAGTCACATTTGTAGACATTCTCTCGTATGTTAACCGTATTAGCCCAGCTAACAACGAAAAACAATTTCTCGATATTTTTAAATGACTAATACATTTATTGTACGCATGTGTAAGTGTGTTGCTTCGTCCTGGAACATTTGACGGGTTTGTCGGACACAAGAAATGCAAAGTAGCGTCGATTGACAAAACAAAAGGATAATATTAAAATGAATCTTAGGTAAACAGAATGAGAGGATATGAAATGGTCTGGTGTAATAATTAAATTACAAAGGCATACATTTTATTGTTGCATACAGTTATTATTATAAATAATACTGTATAATATTTATACAGAATAAATTGCAAGGCCAGTGTTCTGACGTAACTCGACCAGAACAATAAAAAATATTGACAAGCCACAAGATTTTTAGCGTAACATCACATTAGAACAGAGTGCGAAAAAACGGTGTTTCCGACAGGGATTAAATATGATAATTTCATTTAAGCTGCATTAATTTAAGTAGCAGAGAAATTAAGTGTGTCCAGTAATTTTTCACAAATCACCGTGAAATTCGGACTACCTTAAGACAGCTTACGGCTACCATATTAATTAGAAATTTATAATTAATTCACTAATTTGCTCATGAACTTTAGTACTGCAAGCTTCGAAGGGAATAATTTTTATTAAGATTTATAATGAACTTTTCAATATTAAATATAAATATTCTTACAGTAACGATAATTTATCATGTATCATTTTTATCAGAATATATTTCATGGTTATTAAAAAAAATGCTATCATTTTTGAGGCAAAAGGGCTCATTACTAAAAAAAAAAAACAAATAATTATTGACCTCTAAAATGTATTTTAATAAACTAGAATGATAGAATTTCATAAAACGTAATTTTTACGACAGGCTCTTCGCACTTCCAAATCACAGGCTCGCTTAATCACAGTAACCTTCACGCAAAATTAATTATCTTTCAACTAAATATTATTATTTTATATTAGCTGTTTAACATTTTTGAATCAAAAGGAATTAAGATTCTAGTTAAGATACTAATTTCCTCTACTGCAATTTTACCATAATCATAAACGTAACAACAAAAGCATTTAGATTTAATTATAAAGCCAAGGAAAAGCGTAATTACGTCACGAAACATTTTATTTCTGCTAACACGCTAAAAAGGGCACAAAACGTCTCTGGGAGTTGGAATAACTCGGCTAGTAATCCGATTAAAGACTCGATGGCAGGGTTTCGATCCCTGGCGGGGGCAATTGTTCTTATAGTCCCCGTATTCAGACCGCCTCCTATCCGATGGATACCGCGGGTCCTTTTTCCGGGGTTAAAGTTCAACCAAGGGCATGTCACCGATTATTCACACCCAAAATGAGTAGCAGCTATATACGAATTCAAAATACCGACGCAGTGTGATATATCGTAAAAACGCCCAGTCATTCGTATTTAAGCGTTTAAATTAAAAAAAATTAATACAGTTGACTGTAATAAAATACTAGACACACTCTGCTACTCTAATCAAACAATTATAACCACTCGTATTTTTAGAAGACGCAATTAAAGAGAGTAACAAGAAATAATATATAAAAATTAAAAATAATTATATTTTTACAATTTTGTACAAGGCGTATATATATATATATATATATATAATAAACATGCACGTTTTACATTACAACGAAGTGTCACTCGGGCGTATTTTTAATTCATACGCGATATTATTATTCCATTTATTTTAAATGTGAATCACGGTGCAAATATCTGAACGAATGGCAAGAAGGTGAAACACAGCTGTTAAAGAGTAAAAAATCACCAGAGTAAAATCACCAGCTAAGCATCGGCTCCACCTCGGCAATTACTTTTAATCTAACACAGACGAAAACTAACGCAGTCTTTGGTTTTAATTAACCACTCTAATTTTTTTTTTGTAATTCTTTTTAAATAATTCGATGCGGTTTCTGAACTAATAAACTTTAACCATTTCTTCGAGTTTTAATTTTTAAATTACTTAAAAATAAACTATGTACAATTACACGGAGAAGAAAAATTACATTGCACTGGGAAATAATTCAAAGTATTTTTTCCCTATATTTTAAATAATTAAATACACATGCACACACAAAAAATACACAACACAGCATCACAAAACATTCTATGGCTAATATCTCGAAGTGCAGAGTACAGATTTTGTGGGAAAACACGATAAATGGCGGGAATAAACCGCGACGTTCATCTGTTCCACCGACATTAATTATCCTCACGACCGTAACAAAAGCGCCTGCTAGATATTTCAAAGGAAGCTTGGAATGGTAATTAAATATTCGTAGCGTAATAAATATGTATTAGAAAAGGCTTTTTTTTTCCCCACATCCTCAACACTCTAAACGTTTGTCCCGTGTTTTTTCGTCCCCATGGCACTGATGACTAGCGTAGTCTGCGTCTTTATTTTAGGAATTACGATTTCTTTAATCACTCTCAGCAATTTTAGACCTACACAAAATATTTTCCAGAACAAAGAGATTTTAATTAATATTTTTAATATAAATCGAATATGAAACTTAAAATGTTAATTAATAATAAAACTCGCTATGAAGGAGATTCGAAGTGTCTGTCGATAACCTGATTTTTTTCTTCTGCGCGCGCATTACCGAACAGTAAGCTCGAGTATTACGTCAAGCGGCCGACAGCGCTGTGAAGTGCGGCGGTGAAAATATGAAGTTTTATTACGTCAAGCGGTTTACAGCGCCGCGAAGAGCGGCGGTGAAAACATGAAGTTTTATTACGTCAAGCGGCCAACAGCGCCGTGAAGAGCTGTGGTGGAACTATAAAGTTTATTTTATGCGCTGTACCAACGCTTATTTCTGTTTCAAACACGAGAACCATTTCAGTTTCTCGGAAATTAATATTAATTTTGCTACAGAAAAATTTTGCGGAATATAAAGTGATTTCGGATTTTACGTGAAAATCCTAGCGATGTTCTGTATGGACCGAGATTATTTTTCAGGCCGAATCGCTTCGTAATTTGACGAGATTATTTCCGTTACGAAGATTTAAAATGTCCCATCGATACCTTTCGAGGAAAATAAATCTACAACTACCACATGTACGATTTACAATTACATGTAATTGTTTTACATAACAAGAAGTTTTGAAGCACACAAAGTGTTGGTAGGTAAAATGATGACGGCTGTCCGGTTCCATCTGCCGTTCTCTTACGTTGGACACAGAACTGAAATATGCGACATTCTTCAGTAATTAATACATATTTAAGAGAACAATTAATTTAAAATGCAAAATCATATCGCAGTAAAAAAAAACACAACTCACTGGAGAATGCGTGTTTATTAGTAAATTACAAAAAATTATTCAACGTGATCTGCACGTAAGCGTAAATGACAGATCATGTTATTGAACCCAAATTTCGATGTATTTTCTGGTATGTTTCCTGCCGTGCACGGAACATCAACCCGTAGCTTTTCCGGAGTATAAATGCGATTTGACTATATATTATTCTTTAAAAATCCACATAAAAATAAATCAGTTGGGTTACGGTCCGGAGGTCTTGGTGGACACAAACATTCTGAAAAACAGACTCGAAGCACTCTCCAGAGGTTACGTTTCTTTTCGAAAACTTCAAAATGGGAGGGGGAAAGACTAAATTTCGGCTAAAAAATACTTGGAACAATATTTGGTTCCGAAATTCAAAATTATTACTTTCTCCGAGACAGCCAAATACCTCGTGAAAACTGTCCGACCTGACAAGACCTACAAAAAAATTCTATTAGCCTCAATATTTTGCGTACATACAGAACACTTCTAAAGCGGCCCATCCACGTACGAGCCCGGCTCGCGAGTCAGGCTCGTACGTGGATGTACCGCTTAAGGACTGTCACAGCTTTCAGGATTACTAACCTTTGAGTATATAATCCGTAAGGAGCGTAGGAACGGTGGGGCTGTCCTCGTTGATAGCTTTCAGTACTGCAACGAACAGATAAGTGATAAATCACGATAAATTTTAATTTATCATTTTCAAAAAAAGCCAAAAACTTCTATAATACTCACTTTTGATGAGGACCTGAAGAGCTTGGTTGTCCGGTGGACCACTCCCCAAGTGATAAGGGATCACCGTCGTCAGATACTGGGAACATAACGTTACTGGTAAAGGTTTGTCGTTTACATTTATCAAACTCCGACGTAAATTCACGTCTTCCTGAGAAGCTGACAGTTGTTCAGGCTTCATAACATTTATGGAACCCAAAGGTTCATTACTGTAAATTTTATGAGTAGAAAAATAATTTTAAAATACTTTTTCCAAACTCCGACACCAAAATCAGACGACCTCTCTTTCCTTACCTTGGGGTCGAGACCGTTCGGCACTCGAGTTGAGGCGTTGCTGCGTCCCGTTCGCTTGCGTTCGACGTGGTACTGGCGCCGTTTGTTCTGAACAGCGAGCAGAAGTGAGATAAAAGTATTCTTCAACTCCTTCTCATATTCTAGTTCATCGCGCAATGCAAGTTCTGCGATAAGCGTCTCTGAAAACTCTCGGATTAGAACTTCTAATTCCAGGTAGAGTTCATTCAGTTGAGACAGACTCAAAGTTATCAATTCTGAAACAAATACAAGGACAAAAAAGAAATGTTTATTTAACCCTTTGAAGCCGAAGATCGTCTGAATATTATTTATGAATTCAGTCCGTACCGCGAAGAAAACACTACACCTCACCATTACGAAAATCAGCTGGTTAACCCTTTGAAGCCGAAGCTCGTCTTCATAATATTTACGAATCCAGACCGTACCGCGAAGAAAACACTTCACTTAACCATTAGCAGTCGAATCAGGCGGTACCACATAAGATTTAACAAAAGAACAACCCGGTCAAAGCCTTAATAACGCTCTATCACGCGCGAAATGTTACGCGGCGTGACGTCATAAACGAGGGTGTGGATGAGAACTGATTTTGGTTAGGATTTAAGAAAGCGAGACAAAACCAAAATAAGAACCTTGAAAAATACGGCTACTGTGAAGTGACGTCAGAGACAAGAGTTCCATCTGCGGAACAACGTAATCTCAGCGACGAAAAAATTCATTACACGAACAAATAAAATCAATATACGCGAATTTTGATATGTTCCTTTATTACGTCCGTTCATATTTCCCAAAACCGAGTTCCTGATCTCTCGTGAGCACTGTCCTACACAAAATTTCTGCCACTACAGGTCAATACTCACTATCTTCATATAAGGGCGACTGAAATACTTCTTTTCCCTTCATTTCCAATGTGTCAGTCGAGTCGAGCAGCGAGCCGTCAGAATCAGGCGAGCATTCAGTTGATGGAGTCTCCTGAAACCACCACGTCATAATAAACGGAAAAAAAAAATATGAGAAATTTACAATAAATTAGTCCTTCTCTCCTTGTCCACAGTACCTGCATCATATCATCAATTTCCCTGATCACCTCCTCCGCTGTTTTCACAGGCTCCGTGTCCTGATGAAGACCAGAGAGGATGAGTGAATGCATGTCCAGGTCATTGGCCACAGCTTCGTCCTCGGAGCTCAGATCTAGCAGATCGTCGTCTGGAGAAAGTGTTTCCTGCGCACACCACGGCTAGGCATGAACTTCAGAAATTCATTCGGAGTTTTAACATTTTCGAGACGAAAATTTCATTTTTACGATAATTTTCATGAAAATCTGTCAACTGGTTCAAAAGTAAAATGAGAATGTATTAAAGTACCTTATTTTCATTGAGGTTTAAAGCTGGCATATGCAATTTCCTCGCATATGACTTTGACCAGTCAATAGGAAGGATATTTCCAAAATTACCAGTTATTGTCCACCACATCCTGTGAAATAAAAGAATATTCTCAAATAATAATTTCATAAACATATATACAAGACTTTTTTATCGCTTGAATTTTTCTAAAAATCTTAAGAGCCCGTGTTACTGACAACGTCCGCTAAATAAACCACAAACACACAACAACACATGAAGATAAGATGACAGATTAACAACGCTTCGATGATTCAGAATGATACGCACATTTATTTTATTTATTTAGTTAGTGTTCTGTCTGACGACAGGTCCATATGAACAGGATCCTTCCATCCTTTTCTCGGACTGTGGACCTGTTCATATACGTTCTTGGCAGATGATCCAGAAGTGGTTTGCCATTGCCTTCTTCTGTGTGTGAATGGAGTAATTGTTGGGATGCCACGGAGGAAAACTCCGTGTTGCCTAGACCACGGCCTTGCCCAACACAAGTTATAAATTCGGGCACCGCCGGGAATCGAACCCGAGACCCCAGGATTACAAGGCCAGCGTTCTAACCGCTAGACCACCGTTGAATTCGATACGCACATACAGATTAAAAATAGTTTCTGAGTTATTCATTACATAAATTTGACTAATGTAAGAATTTCCCTTTATATGTCTTCAGGAGACTCAGTTGGGGTGCGTGAACTCAATTAATCTCTTTATGATTGTGTCTAATGACAAGGTTTGGTATTGGCAATCTTGTTTCAAATTTCGTAATATTTACTTTTGTAAAAACAAAACGAGGACACGACATTTCATACAAACTTATCAAAATTAACATAAAACACACAGAAATGCACACGCAATAATTCCGGGGGGATTTGCTAAAATGTCAGCTTCTGTGTCTGTGGTTGGCAGTAATCAATGAAAAGCTCGCTTTGGGGGGCGGGGGGTTTCTGCAGGGCTGCCAACACCCGAACTGCTGCCAACTAGGTCAGTATTCTTCATAACGTCGGATCCAGGCCCTCTGTAAATAATTTCCTTGGCAAAACTCTTATCGACTTGTTCGCGAACTTGTTCATGAATTAACAACAACTTTCAAAATATCCTTCGCTGGACCAAGACATACGTGATCTATCACGCTGTGAGCCACCCTTCAACTTCTAAAACAGCTCACCGATCTTCACGAAACATGGTTTCAGCGTTACGATAATGGGGGTTACCACAAACTCACAATTTTAATTTCCTACAATGATGATCACCCTGATGATGGAGGCAGCAATGACCTCCGAAACATCGGCTAACTTCTATCACCAAACTTCACGGCGCAACATCCCAGAAGACAGTCGTGTTCAGCAAATGTCTTTCTCCCGAGCAGTTACAGACAAATGTTCCAGTCAGCCCCGCTCAAGGAACGAAGCTGAGTCCACGTGCGTAGGATGATAACCCAAACACTAACGTCCGGTTGTCAGCGAAGGTCTAGTGTACCTGGTGGGTTCTCCAGTGGCAAGTCGCCAGTCATAACGACCTCGAATACGACCTCCCCCCTCCCCACAATTTCCCCTTTCCACTTCATTTCACTTCTGCAAGCGATGAACACTGCCTTACACAGACCTGGGTACACGAAAGGAACTGGATATTTCAAGACCAGAGCAAGATAATTAATTAAGAGTGTCTAATTAGACGAGGGTGGAATTTTGGAGAAGGCTTAAGATTGGTACAAAAATTCTGATCTCATACTGTCAGATTTCGTCAGTAAGGAACAATTATATTTCAGATCGGGACTTCCAAGTTCTTACGGCGGACAGTAAGTAGATGGCTGTAGTCTGGTAGAAGTTTACTGACGTTTCAGAGGTCCTTAACCCTTCGAAGCCGAAGATCGTCTGAATATTATTTATGAATTCAGTCCGTACCGCGAAGAAAACACTACACCTCACCATTACGAAAATCAGCTGGTTAACCCTTTGAAGCCGAAGCTCGTCTTCATAATATTTACGAATCCAGACCGTACCGCGAAGAAAACACTTCACTTAACCATTAGAAGTCGAATCAGGCGGTACCACATAAGATTTAACAAAAGAACATCCCGGTCAAAGCCTTAATGCCTCTGTCATCAGGGCGATGAGGATCAGGACCCATCGCCCTGATGATGGAGGCAGCAAGGACCTCTGAAACGCTGAGGTGCTACAATCCGGAAGTAAGACAAATTGTTAGTCACTTATTTTTAACTTTTTCGTGATCGTCTTGCGTTGAGATGCTCATTAAGATCCAAAACACTGAACTGTCATTAATTAGTCGAATACAGACCACAGCGTCCCACCTCATCAGTTTGCAGACTGACTTTAATCTTAGATATCCATCAAAGCATACAGAGCACGAATTAATATTTTGTCGCCATTTTATGACGCACCGAAGTCTACGAGCAGCTTTACGACGTATGGGAATAAAACACAGAATGCAATTAAGCAAGTCACAGACAATGGTTGCGTTGTTTGGGGCAGGTGGGAGTACGGCAGACTGAGACGGACAAAAACCATTGAGGCAGTGGGAGGGGAACCCAAGGTCAACCACCGACACACAGCATCCTCCGCCCGCTCTGACGCTGTACCAGGGCTGCAACGAGATGAATTGCAGTATCATGAGATAGCATGACGTTATCATCTCTCTCTCAGCGACTGAAACACAATGTCCGTCAGATGTGGTTCTCATTTTAGGTTACCAACGTTTCGCATACTTCACCCCTCCGAAACGTCGGTTATCAACCTATAAGTCCACAAGGAGTTGCTACTAAGAAGACAAACACCGACAATCAAAATTACATCCGTTCAGCGATACTTTATTTTGGACCATTAATATAGAATTTTAACGAAATCGGTTTCGGAGATTATACGGACAGCCACAAGATTTTTCCTACCACCCGCATTCAATCTGTGATCGTTATGAAAAATTAAAAATTCCACGCATTTTATGAAACCGGAAGCTTCACAGGTGTGTTCAGAACAGCCCGTCATTGAGGTTTACGTTCATCGATTCCGTATCGTATTTAACATCGATTTTAATATTATCATCCCAACTACATCCCCCCTTAAGCAAAACTCCCAAAATACTGATATTCCTGACCACATAAACACCTGTTGATAATGACTTAGTATTTCTAAAGAAATGTTAACAATCTTTCGGAGTTGTTATTATTATTATTATTACGTGTAATTTAAAGGAGGCAGCCACATGTTTCGATGACGTCAGCAGCCTGTCGGTTTACATCTGTTACATACATGTGGTTTAAAATTAATGTTGCAAAAATGTAAAGCTGAACATCCCAATACCAGAGAGAACACTTCATCTCGACAAACGTTTGTCCAGAGATTACAAGAAACACACGCCTCGATGACGTCAGCAGCCTGTCGGTTTACATCTGTTACATACATGTGGTTTAAAATTAATGTTGCAAAAATGTAAAGCTGAACATCCCAATACCAGAAAGAACACTGCATCTCGACAAAAGTTTGTCCAGAGATTCCAAGAAACACACGCTCCTTCTAAAGAAATCCCTGACATGATGAGAACACAAAATTAATTAAAAATATGTAGTAACCCGATGTTGGTTTAATGGATGCAATGTCGCATGGACTTTATACCAAAGTTTTGGACGAACATATAATATTCTATCAACAGCCCTGAAGATGGAGGAAGTATGGTACTCCGAAACGTTGATTCCACCTGCAATTCCATACGACGTTGCACCACAAAAGACCAACGACACATTCACAGCTCAAGTGAAATTCAGACTTTCAACACGAAAAATATCTTTTGAGAAACTTTATAGATGCAAGCCTTCACGTGTTTGAAAACAAAGTGATCTGGACCTTAATATCGTCACGACATGAAAATCTAGAGTCTACGATGGGCGTTTTATTAACCCTTGAAAGCCCAGTGGTCATTGTATGTCCCACCTGCTTTAACAATCAGTAACATTTCAGTTTGTATTGAATTTCGTATGATTCTCAGTTGCAAATAGCGATTATTTC